AAGCAGTAGTGTGCAACGGGATCATTCTGTTCCATTTTCTCCTGCTCAGATTGTGCTTGAGTGCACTTACAGTCTGCATGGCCATCTTACTTCCAAAGTGATATGACTTGTTCAATTTCTCTGAAAAATTAGTCTATTTAACAGGAGAACTGCAGAACACTATATAAATAATTGTCATTAAAGTCACAGTTTCCATTATCACTGGAACCTTTTTCCAGGCACTAGCTATGCCCAAATCTTCTCACACCTTATTGCTCACCTAAATGTGGAATACATTGATTCAGCTGATTAGCTACACTATTTTCTTTTGCCGAGTATTACTGAAACCCCATCTGATATCAACATCACCACCTTCATTAGATACCAGATGAATCTTATAAAATCTATAAAAATCATTGGCGCTAAACCTATGCTTAAAGTTGAGCACATGCTTAATTTCTTTGCTGGATCAGAGTTAGAGTGCTCAGAACCTTGCAGGATTGAGGCCAAACTGTGATTCCGCTCTGAAAAGGGAAAATGTCAAATTTGCACCGTCTTCCACTGCAGATCTCCTCCCTGTATCGAGTGGCATTCCTACGTATGCCCCTTCATGCTTTGACCACCATTCCAGAGGACATGCTTCCATGCTGATGACAGGTGCGGACAGACGCACATTCATTTTCATCATCTGACACCAACAGAAAGTTGATTTTCCTTCTTGGTGGTTCAGGTTTTATAGTTTTTGCACTGGAGTGTTGCTCTTTTAAGGCTTCTGACAGCATCTTCCACACCTCGTCCCTCTCAGTTTTTGGAAGGGATTTCAGATTCTTAAACTTTGGGTTGAGAACTGTAGCTATCTTTAGAAATCTCACATTGGTACCTTCTTTGCGTTTTGTTAAATCTGCTGTGAAAGTGTTCTTAAAACAAACAACAGGTGCTGGGTCATCATCCGAGATTGCCATCACACAAAATATATGGCAGAATGCGGGTAAAACCACAAAGCAGGAGACATACAAATCTCCCCCAAGGAGTTCAGTCACAAATTTTATTAACACATTTTTTTTAACAAGAGTCATCACCATGGAATCACGTTCTCTCTCTCTTCAAAGCCTGAAAGGGCATACAAATGTTCAGCATATCTAACGCATAAATGCCTTGCAACACCAGCTACAACAGTGCCATACAAACATCTGTTCTCACTTTCAGGTGACATTGTAAATAAGAAGCGGGCAGGATTATCGCCCATAAATGTAAACAAACTTGTTTCTCTTAGCGATTGGCTGAACAAGAAGTAGGACTGAATGGACTTGTAGGCTCTGAAGCAGGAGTTCTCAAACTGGGGGTCGGGACCCCTCAGGGGTCACAAGGTTATTACATGGGGGGGTCATGAGCTCTCAGCCTCCACCCCAAACCCCACTTTGCATTCAGCTTTTATAATGGTGTTTAAATATATAAAAAAGTGTTTTTAATTTATAAGGGGGGTCACACTCATAGGCTTGCTATTTGAAAGGGGTCACTAGAACAAAAGTTTGAGAACCACTGCTCTAAAGTTTTACATTGTTTTGTTTTTGAGTGCAGTTATGTAAAAAAATAATTCTATGTTTGTAACTTGCACTTTAATGGTTAAGAGATTGCACTACAGTACTTGTATGAGATGAATTGAAAAAACTATTTCTTTTATTTATCCTTTTTATAGTACAAATCTTTGTAATCAAAAATAATAATATAAAGTGAGCCCTGTACACTTTATATTCTGTGTTGTAAATGAGATCAATATATTTGAAAATGTAGAAAACATCCAAAATATTTAAATAAATGGTATCCTACTATTGTTTAACAGTGAAATTAAAACTGTGATTAATCACAATTTATTTTTTAAATCGAGATAATTTATTTTGAGTTAATTGCTTGAGTTAACTGCAATTAATTGACAGCCCTCCTGAAAATGTGAAATTAATGTGGATTAATTGAAATGTGTTAAATCCCCATATGAATGTTCTCATTCAGCAGTAAAGTGGCCTTATTTTGTGGTATCTTAATCCTCTTTGGATGTGTCCTAAGAGAAGAATTTGGCAAACCATATTAATATAGGAAGATATTTAATAGTTCTATTAAACTGTATTTATAATTGCACTGAAAATTTATCTTAAGCAACTATACAAGAGCAGCAAAAAATGAATGTCTATCAGAGATGGGCTTTACCTAATAGGCAAATGAAAGTGCTCTTCAAATGGAGATACTTTAAAGATGGCCCAAAGAGGAAAAAAACTGGTTTTGTGCCTTTCTCCCTCCTTTGGAATGTATAAAGAAGGCCTGAAAATTTTTCAAAAATAGGAGGGCTTTTTGGCTTCTCTTTACCTTAGAATTATCAGGAATATCAAATCTGGTCTTCTCTAGTTTTGCTGGAGAACTCCTTGGAGGATGCAGAGATGTGACTTGGAGGCTTTCTCCACACTTTTAATTATATGTATTGGAGTGTTAAATCTTTAACAAATATATTTTCTCCCTCCTGTCTGTGAGGCATTTTAGTTAAAAAGGTGTTAACTAAAATTAACACTATTCAATGAGTTTTAAGCCATCGGGGAGAAAAAACAATAGCTTCCCATCTCATATAATTCAGTTTTGCTTGCTTGATATATTTGGTTCTCCAGTCATTCATAGAGTGTTCTTGAAAAAAATGTTAGATTTTCTAATGTAAAAACATTTCAGGCCTTCTTTTTACATCATAAAAAGGGTAAAAAAACACCCATAACGACCCATGCCAAATAGTCTCCATTCCTGGTTTGTCCCCTCCATTAGTGTTGCATTTTACCGCTGGTTCCAGGCATGAAAGAGCATCCAGGATCATCTGGACCAGTATGCAAGCTAAGTGCAGGCAATCCAGGCTGCCTTGTAAATTGTTCCATTGCATTTTCTATCAGCCAGTTTCTATCTTGGGCTAACTCTCATACTCAGGGCCAAAGCAGAGAGCAGGCTGCCTAACTTCACATACTTGTAGTCATTTTTCCTGCTGCTTGCACCCCAAGGATCAATTTCTATTCTGTTGCATCAGTGCAACACCAATAAAGAGAATGAGGCTATACTGATATAAATGAGGATAGAATCTGACCCTTAGAGCTCAATTCTGCCCTCAGTTATGTAGGTGTAACACCCATTGATGTCAGTGGGAGTTTTCCCTTGGTGTGTCTTGGACTTTATTTAGACTGTAAACTCTTTGGGATAGGGACTGTTTTCCCATAGAATTTTGCAGCACTAAGCACATTGTGGATGCTACCATAATATAAATAATATTACAAATAATAATAATAATGCCACCCTACCATGTCTCCTCTCTACATGCAGCACTACTTGCAAACACTAGATTTACTGAAAAAGCAGCTACAATAACCCAAGAAGTTGATGGTCTCCATGAAAAGCCCTTTCTCTCTTTATAAAACACAAAATATAGGTTGTATATGCTGTAAATTGTCATTTTAATTTTATAACATGGCAAGAGCCATTGTCTGCAGCGCTAAATAAAAAGACGATTCAATGTTTTGAAAGGATGCTAAGCAATACAAAGCACACATTTACAAGCACATGGATCTATCCTTTGTGCTGATAACTTGAAAATTAGTCAAGAAGGGAAAAATAATATTAACTAATGGATGAAACAAACTCCACCACTTCTCACCCAAATAACCAACCACAAACATATATGTGTGAACAATTACAAGCTACAAAATAAAAGGTAGAAAATGTAGAAAACAAAATGGAAGGAACAGTTTGTATTTGTCTTTACTTGGGAAGTCCAGATCTGTACGTATTTAGTTCTTTGCTAACCAGCTCAATTAACTTGTGGGGTGAATGTCAGTCCCACAGCAAAAAAAAAACAACAACTAGCCTCATTAAATAGCAACAGTCTACACAAAGAACTATGAAAACCTGACTCAAAATTCTCATGTTTAGTTGCCTTATCCCTCACCATAAGGATGCAGATGCATTGAGCATTTCAAAAAAGATGACCACTTCAGGTATAATACCTACAGAAATCATGCTACCTGTTGGTTGCTGAAACATCTCTTTTAGTCAGTACTGAGACTCAAAAGCATGAGGCTTCTGAAAACAATTTTTATCAAAGCAGGTCAGTGTGGAGGAATTGGGTATCTGCATTAATATGAAAATATAAAGCATGATGTGGGCCTGATCCTGAAAGATCAATGGGCATTTAAGGTGCCCTGCACTTTCAGGATTGGGACCTAAAAGTGCTAAATGGTACATGAGAGCTGAGTATTGTATATAATTATGAAGATGATTGGTATGGACACACACCACTCTGCTATTTTAGCATATATACCAATTTATAATGAATATGATCAAATCTATTAATCAAATGTAAAGCATCAAATACATTCAAAATATTTACCTATTATTAATTATCTGACAGATGGAAATAATAATAGTCGCTAGCATTTGTATAGCATTTTCCATCTACAGATCTTTACAAAAGCAAGTATATATTTATCTCTATGTCATAGAAGGGGAAACTGAGACACATAAAGTAGTAACTTCTCTAGTCACATAGTGACTCATTAACAGAGCAGAGATTAAAACAGGACTCATGACTTCCAGTTTAGTATCCTATATGCAGATCACAAAAATAACTCTTGAATCATAGTGTATTTGTCTGACTTCTTAGCAGGCTGTAATATGGTGAAAAGTAGTTTTTTCTTAACATTTAATTTTGACAGTATCTAGTTGGTTTCATGACATGTTGTAATAAGAGACTTGACTGTAGGAGTAGGCAGTCATTTCTAGAGACTGGAATAAATTCAGTTTATTTAATGAAATGCTCTAATCACATGCCCTGAACTGGTAGATTTTGGGCGGTTTTTTTTGTATGCCTTAATCTAAATAAAAGAGAGAAAGCACATTTTTAACATTTTTCATGTATTGTAACCCAATCGCTCTACTTTTTCATTTGTTTTAAAATCTAAAGAGAGTAAATGTGTGTGAATATCATATTTAAATACATTTCCTACCTGCCTTCTAGAAGCAATAGTGCTACTGAAACCCCTGTTAGTCATCTTGGAATTCATAGTCTTGTTTTGGTGAGTTGAGTTGTTTTTCTGTGTCTTAGGGTTTTCTTTTGGATCTGAAGGGATGGGATTCAGGAACAATATTCTGGCAATCAGTCCATAGAGGACAGTGGCCAGTATCATTGGCACAACATAAAATATACCAAAGTCCATCATATATATAGGGGAGTAGTAGCTTCTAGACACCTTGTAGCCGCAAGAAACAACGATGGTATCTTTGTAGACAACTGTGTTGAGATCTAGCAGGAAAAACCAGAGGGTACAGTATATGGAGGTGAAAGCCCAGACAAAAATAATGATCTTTTTGGCTCTTGAAAAAGTACATAGGAATTGGGCTTTGATTGGGTGGCAGATGGCAATATATCTCTCAACAGTGAAGGCGGTGATGGAACAAGAAGAAGCATTGATGCCTAGGTATTGGAGATACGTAATGCAGAGACATCCCACGTAGCCATAGACCCAGGATCCATACAGGCTCTCGGTGATGTTGGGAAGTCCTGCAGCCACCAGCACCATGAGATCAGCCACAGCCAGACTCACCAGGTAGCAGTTAGTGGGGGTCCTCATGTGTTTGGTCCTGAGGACCACCAGCACCACCATGATATTGCCCACTATGCCTAGTCCACAGATGAGGAGGACCAAGAGAATGGTAACTACTTGGTAGTCAATACTGATCACCTCTTGGCTTGGCAGCAGTCCTGTTTGGTTCTGTTCATCCCCTGTGCTGTTCTCCATCTTCACCAGCTTGAAGCTGCTTCTGCTGGGCAATTGCTGTCAGCACATTTTCTCTTTATCCCCCTGTAAAAAAGTTAAACACAGTGGAGAGTGGATGATGAACAGCCCCATCGCACAGTCTCCATAAGGTTACAGTCCCCACACAAGCCACCTTCACTTCAAGACTCCTGGGCTTTTTGCTTCACAAGTTCAATTACCAGACAGGTAGATCCCTCTTGGATCTTGTTTCATTAGCACAGGATAAAAAGCTGGTTCTTTGTAGCTGTTCTGAGACACTCATGAGAATGAATGCAACTAGAGATCAGAGCTTTCTCTCTCTGCAGAGCAGAGTGAGAGAGGGGGAAAGGGAGGGGGAAGACAGAGATTCCTTTCCCTGCACTGACAGAGATCACCAGCTAGCTAGCACAATGCATGGGACTGTACCAATCCAATACCACCAGATTTCAGCATCACTGCTTTTCAGGGAGCAATCTCAGTATAAGGGCAGGTGACACAAGTATGGGGAGGCAGAGGGAGGAAGTTAAGTCATGCTCATCAGAATTCCTATGCCTTTACACTGTTTTGCCATTCTGCTGTCTGGTGGCTGTTGTCATTTTGTATATTCCTCAGCACTATACAAATTATTTGTAATAAAACACACATTAATACATTCTGATTTCCTATGTGTCCCTGAGGCAGGTTACACTTACCTTGTGCTCTGCAGGGTTCTCAGAGTACTTGTCCCATCAGAATGGATGCAATGAAAACTGTCCCAACTTTTGAAACCTGCAGAAAACCCTGTCTTATACTTTACTCCACAAACGTTTTGCTTCACAATGGTTTGGTCACTTGGGCTGTGCAGTCCCTCCACCCCCTAAACACTCCCAGTTCTCTCTCTCTCTCTCTCTCTCTCTCTCTCTCACACACACACACACACACACACACACACT